ATATCTCGAAAACGGTTGAATTTAGGAAATGATGTGCTATATCAATTTTATTCAGAATTTCAATTAGAATGAAAATATGGAATAATACATTAGAAAAAGCAACTTTATTTCTTCAAGACTTTTTGACTTATCCTGTTAACCTAATTTTTATTTAGTGTGGTAGATTTGGAAACACCCTAAAACTGCTTTGTATTTTAATATTTTTGCCTAGCAATCTCACTTCAAGAGATAATCGACTGTTTCCATACATATCAGCGATCCTGTATAAAAAAATTGATGCAACAGTCATTGATAATCATCAACTGATAATTATCATTTTTCAATATTCAGCAAAGTGGTGGTGGTGATGATGACAGGCGTGGTTGAAGAACTTGAGCAAGGCAATCAAATTACCCTAAAGCTTTGCGATCTAACCAAAATTGTGCCTTACATGAAATACTGTTGAGAAAATTAGGGATTACAGGTATTTCGCTTCAATAAATAAAAACCTATCTGGCAAACTACCAACAACTAGTAGGTAATGTTCATGGTACTCTTGTCAAACTTCCAAACTGTCAAAAACAGCTATCATGTTAGGAGAGGGGGGGGCAAAGACGAGTTTTCCCCAAAAAATTGTACATAGATAACGAAGATACCACGAGTAGGGATAGTGTTGATGGTGAAATTCTAAGTTTTCTGGGATTTAATCCGGTAAATTCTGGATTACAATCACAGACACGTAATTTTGAAAATGTAGACAATATTTTTGTTGAAAGTACAGAAATAAATAATGATAGTGGGACGAGATACCATTGTATAGTGATAAAGGTGAAGGCCTATTTATAGTAGTTGTTGAATCTACATCAGAAGGGAGAAATTTGAGACCTCTTTCTCATCTAGAAATAGCCAAAGATGTATGTGATATTAAAAACATAGACAATATTTTTGAAAGTACAGAAATAAATAATGATAGTGAAATACCATTGTATAGTGATAAAGATAAAGGCCCATTTATAGTAGTTGTTGAATCTACATCAGAAGGGAGAAGTTTGAGACCTTTTTCTCATTTAAAAATAGCCAAAGATGTATGTGATCTTAAATTAGAGGATATTAAAAAATATAGACAATTTTTTTGAAAGTATAGAAATAAATAATGATAGTGAAATACCATTGTATAGTGATAAAGATAAAGGCCCATTTATAGTAGTTGTTGAATCTACATCAGAAGGGAGAAGTTTGAGACCTTTTTCTCATTTAAAAATAGCCAAAGATGTATGTGATCTTAAATTAGAGGATATTAAAAAAATTAAAATAAATGGTAGAAACAAAGAAGTAATAGAATTTAGTAATAAAGAGAGTGCCAATAATATGGCAAACAATGAAAGACTGAGAGAAAAGAGTTATAANCTTAAGCCGCGTTTACACCGGAGTTAACAACACGAGTTTTTAACAAAAAGTTATTAACTTAACTGAATCGCCAAAAAATTTCTCTTAACAAAAGTTAACAACTCGTGTTGTTAACAGAAAATTCCATGTTGTCAACAAGATTTATGTTAACCATCAAGAGTCGGTAAAGATCAAAGGAAATGTGTTTTGTTTTTAACAAATGTTAACAACAAAAGTTAAAAGCCTCTTTTAGCGCGTTAACTTTTGTTACCAACAGGTTCCTCTCTTCCCCCACTACCCCCTCGCCCGGCATCCTGTTACACAGAGCGGGCCAGTAGCCCCTCACCCCCTCAGTACCAACTACAGCAGCGGACGAAACACGTGGAGACAGACTGAGTTTATTGTTGACGTGAAGTGTTTTGTTTATTTCTAAAATTATGGAAAGTGAATGGAATCAGGAGCAAGTTATCAATTTGATAGATCTATATCGCGAGCGCCCAGTGTTGTGGGACCCAGCCAATGCTGATTTTAAAGATAGAAACATAAAAAACTATGCTTGGACAGAAATTGGCCAAGCTCTACGCATGACGAAAGTTGAAGTTAAAGAAAAAATGACAAAAGTGATAGGACAATTTCAACGAGAGAGTAAGAAACAAAAAAGTGGGTCTGGAACCAACAGAAAAGTAAAGTGGTTTGGTTACGAACATCTGTTGTTTTTGAGGGACAAAACCGTGCCCAGATCAACGAGCGAAGTGGGCCTGGAGAGAAACGAGGTAAGTAATAAAATAACACAAATAATTATCTTGATATATATAATTAAATGCTACTTGTTATACAACAAGACACACTTTTCAATACATTTTGACTATATGCATTAATATTGTTAAATAGATGTAAAAACTATAAGAATTGTTTCAGAAAAATGTATTATAATTAACGTGTTGATTTTCACTTATGGTAGTGAGTGACATATGCCCCATGGCCTTTTAGTACTTCTTTTGCCAAGGAACTGAACCCTCAGGGCTGTTAAGATACGCACAAAATTCATTCCTTACTAGTTTTGCGATGTCAGATGATTTTTTCGGTATTTTCTTTAATCTAAGAAGATTTTCTGATGGCAATCCAACAACTCGCCACTGTCCAGGAATTAGTTGTCCTGTTGAAGGGTCCTCCTGATCAAACGTGCCTGAAGGGGTGTATGTTCCGTTTGACGACTTGCTTCGTCTCAGGAAGTTGTGTAGATGGATACAAGCCAACACAACCTTTTGTGCACGATCAGGTTCGAGCAACAAAGGTTTTCTTAGTACCCTGAACACGACTGATATAATTCCGAACGCATTTTCCACCACTCTTCTACACCGACAATGTCGATAGTTAAACACCCGTTTTTCACTACCTTTCTCATGCAGCCCAGGATATGTTTTCATAATGGTTGGTTTTAATGGAAATGCGTCATCCGCGACGATAACATATGGGACGGGTAGGGTTCTTCCCGGTAAAGGGGTGGCGTTAGGTAGATTGATTGTATTGCTTTCCAAGAACTCGTTCAACGCACTGTTTGCAAACACTCCACCGTCCGACAATCGCCCTTGACATCCAACAGACACGTAGGAGAAGCAATCATTAGCATCGACCAAAGCTAGCAGGACGATACTGAAGAATCCTTTGTAATTAAAGTAATCACTACCTGTATGTATTGGATTATCATAAAATACATAATTTAATATATTTTATTCGGAATTCTCAAAGTGAAGTTAAAATTTAATTAATCAAAAGTCTGGTTAACAAAGACGTATGCAGTAGGTGTATAGTGTTGTAAGAAAACATTTTGTTCCAAGAAAAAGGCAATAATCCTTACATGTGAAATAACTGTTTATGTACCTCAAACAAGAAGGGATAATATTTGTCAAAACGGAAGGGGAGTCAAAAAGGGGCTGTGACCTAATTACACTGAATGAATAGAAAAGGGAAGAGAAAGGTTATTTCGTGTCCTCAAAAAGTAGACAGGTGGTGAACTACAAACAAATGAGTAAACTACAATTTTTTCAACTTACCTTTACATTTTCTTTGAAGCAATCAATCAAACCATCTAGTACTTGTGGAACCATCAATGAAATTGTTGATTTTGATATTTTAAATAAATATCCTAAACTTGTAAACGAGTCCCCTGTAGCTAAAAACCGCAAAGTGACCGCAAGTCTTTCTTTCACTGGAATGGCTTTTCTGTAGTTGGTGTCCTTTTTCCCAATTCTGTGCCCCAGTTGTCCGATCAACCACTCAACATCACTGCTGGTCATGCGGAGGAAATTCTTTATGCTTCCGTCGCACCTTAGCTCGCCTGAAAGAGGGTCACGATCGTCTTCTTCCAGATCGTTTAACATGTCACTCCCACTGTACACAGTCCTTGCTCTGAGTGACGGTTTCACCCAGTATCTCCTACGTCTCCTTTGAGCGGCGGTAGCCAATACAACGCACGCAGCTGCAGCGAGAAGCACGTCATCCTCTCGCACCATTGTCTCAACTAGAAATGCTGGCTGTGCATGAGCGTTGATTAATAAGATGGCGGACTTTTAACATTTGTTGTTAACAAAACTAGCAGCCAAAAGAAAATGTTAACAACAAATGTTAATGCCTTTTGTTTTTAACATCAGTTGTTAACAAAAATGTTAACAACTAATGTTATTAACTCCGGTGTAAACGCGGCTTTAGTGATATATACCAAGTTAGTGAGGAAAACAAGAGGCTTTTACGAAGCAGACTGGACGAAATACAAAATAATACTACAACAACTAACGAAAGACATTACGAACATGTCTTATGAAGAATTAATACAGGCTATGAATAACGCAGCGGCTACAACAATTACCTAAGTATCAAAGAAAACAAATTAGGGAGGTTAGGTCACCATGGTGGGACATTGAATGTCAACAAATGAACTTGGCAAAAAAACAAGCAATAACAAATTTCAAAATAAATCCAAGGTTAGAGAACTTTATTCAAGCTAAAAGAATGATAGCAAAAACAAAACAGTTTTTCAGAAAGAAAAAAAAAGATAGTTTTAAAATATTCAGCTAGACATTAAATAGAGATTCAAATGTATCATACATACAATTGGCATTTAACCTCAATAAAAGTGTGATAGCAGTTTTTTGGACACAAAGGGCTAATATCCACAAATTATATAATTATGGGAAAGAAAGTTTTTGGCTTTCTACTACTCCATCTGATACAAAAAAATAAAAAAATTATCTTATAAAATATAAAATTGAACACGATATCCCTAACTTAATATTCAGAATACTTAATAACCGACTCAATTATA